TCCTCTTTCCTTCCTTCCTTCCTTCCCTTCCTTCTTTCCTTCCTTCTACTTCCTTCCTCCTCTATCCTCCTTCCTTCCTTCTTTTTCTTTTCTCTTTCCTTTTTTTGGGTCTTTCCATTTGTAATCTTCTTCCCCGAGAAAGTATTTTCAGACAATTGTATTCTCCAACACTCTCCATAAATTGCTTCTGAGCCTTGTCAGGTTGCATTACTCTCCCTTTTAAGCAAATCCTTCTGATCCTGTCGTTTACAATAAGGAGGCTTCTCATGAAGCCATTCAGAGGCTCTGAATGGATTTGCACAATCTTGGCAGGCCTCACCATCCAGGGCCCTCCGAGATCTCCCTTTTGGGTTATGTGACATTTTACACTTAATCCTTCTGCATTCCGGATGACCCCTCGGTTTGCAAAAGCTTGACTTCCCTCGTGAGTGGTCACGTGCATTGAACAATTGGCTTCAATCTTGCCGTGAGTAACGTTCGGAGCTCCTTGTTAGCAAAGCCAAAAGCAGAAATCCAAAGGGGTTGGAAAAACAAAAGTCACTTTATTAATACAACACAGCAAGAGGATTTAGCAGGTGGCTGTAGTTTGATTGGAGACTCGGCTTTTACAAAGCCTTAAGTAGTTAATCATCACAGGGAAAAATGTGTCCCTTAACAGATAACAGATAATCAGAGTTGGAAGGGACCTTGTAGGTCATCTAGTCCAACCCCCTGCCCAAGCAGGAGGCCCTACATCATTTCTGACAGATGGGAGTCCAATCTCTTCTTGAAAGTCTCAAGTGATGGTGCTCCCATAAGTTCCGAGGGCAACTTCTGTTTCATGGGTTGATTGTTCTCCCTGTCAGAAAGTTTCTCCTTATTTCCAGGTTGAATTTCTCCTTGTTCAGTTTCCATCCATTATTCCTTGTCTGGCCTTCAGGGGCTTTGGAGAATAGCTTGACCCCTTCCTCTCTGTGGCAGCCCCTCAAATATTGGAAGACCGCTATCCTGTCTCCCCTGGTCCTTCTCTTCTCTAGACTAGTCAGGCCCAGTTCCTGCAACCGTTCTTGATACATTTTAGTCTCCAGTCCCCTAATCATCCTGGTTGCTCTTCTCTGCACTCTTTCTAGAGTCTCAATATCTTTTTATAGTGTGGTGACCAAAACTGGACGTAGTACTCTAGGTGTGGTCTTACTAAGGCTTTATAGAGCGGTATTAGTCCCTCCCTTGATCTTGATTGTATCCCTCTGTTAATGCAAGTTTGGATTGCATTGGCTTTTTTGGCGGCGGCTGCACACGGCTGGCTCCTATTTAGCTGGTTGTCCACTAAGATTCCAAGATCCCTTCTCCCAGTTCCTGCTACTGAGCCTGGTTTCCCCCAGTCTATATGTGTACTTTTGGTTTTTCTTGCCTAAGTGTAGGACTTTCCTTTTCTCTACATTGAACCTTAAATCAGGGGTCTCCAACCTTAGCAACTTTAAGCCTGGAGGACTTCAACTCCCAGAATTCCCTAGCTGGCTTTCATGCTTAAGGCGGGACTAGAACTCAGTGCCTCCTGGTGATTGGCCCAAAGTCATCTAGCCGAGTTTCGTGGCTAAGGCAGGTTTAGAGCTTTCCGTCTCCTGGTGATTGGCCCAAAGTCACTAAACGAGCTTTCATGGCTTAGGCGGGACTAGAACTCACCGTCTCCTGGTTTCTAGCCTGCTCCCTTCACCGTTACACCAACCTGACTCTCTTGAACTAATCAAAAGGATTTTTTCCCCTTTGTGCCTTTCTCAGTCTCCAGGGACCTACCGAAAGTTGATGGTTCTGTGTTTTTCTTTCCTTCTAGGAGACCGGAAGCTCTTCGTGGGCATGTTGAATAAACAGCAGTCAGAAGAAGACATTCTCTGCCTCTTTGAACCTTTTGGGGTCATCGACGAATGCACAGTGCTCAGAGGTCCAGACGGAAACAGCAAAGGTCAGTCAAGGACCCAGATTGTTGGCGGCAATAGGCAAATCATGCTTACATTACAAACTGTCCAGTTACTGTAAAGCATGAGAGGGCATTAAATAACTCTAAATTCTATCAATAAAGGAGAATATTTGTAGCTTCGGGCTGAAATGAGGGATCCTTGGTGTTCTCTGAGCTGCTTTTTTTCCTTGGAGGACTAGCACTGATGATGTTACCTAGTTAGGACAATGAAATGTCTGCAAGAAAACTAGCAAGCTCAGAGAGTAACAAGCACCCCATAGTCTTTCCTCCTCTTCCTCCTCCTCCTCCTCTTCCTCCCCACAAATCTCACCCCCTTCTAGCATTGATGATGTTACCTAGTTTGGGTCAACGGGTTTTTAGTTAGGCTGCAATGGGTTTAACAGCCGGTTTAGTGACCGCATGCACCTGCAGAATTCAAAAAAACCCCAATTTGAACCTCAACAGCTTACCTTCTAGGGCAGTGATGGCTAACCTATGACACGCGTGTCACTCGTGACACGCCGAGGCACTTTGACTGACACGCCTGTTGGTGTGGGGAAAACCTGCACATTTAGAGGCTGCCTGTGCTCTGCTCCAATCCTTGCTCCCTGCTTGTGGCGTGGAGGCGTGGTGTCACCGCTGCCGCGAGATCTTTGCAGCAGAGAACCAGTTTTAACCGCCATAAACTGAGGTTTGTCAGTTTCATTACCTCAGGAACGCTACAAGAGGAAAGGAGATCCATGAGGTTCACAGCCCTGTCAGGTGGCCTTCCGATCCCCACATCCTGCACCTGCAGCCCTGAGACCAGGGAGACGAGTTTCACAGCCCTGTGTGATCACCCCAGCCCAGTCCGTCGTAAACCAAATTATTGATATTTCTCGAAGTGACACACGACCCGAGGAAGGCTACACTTTTTCCCGATTTTTGACACACCAAGCTGAAAAGGTTAGCCATCACTGTTCTAGAGGCAACCCTGGTAAGTAGAACACTGAGGCGTGGAAATCCACTGTGCCAGCTGATTGTCAGAACTACCGGTTCGGTAGAACCGCTCCGAATCGGCAGAGCTCACCACTGGTTAGGGTAAAGAAACCTCTGCAAGAAACCAACCAAGCTCAGAGAGCATCAAGGACCCCACAGTCACCTCCTCCTCTTCTTCTTCCTCCTCCTCCTCGCTTTCTTCTCTTCCACAAATCACACCCCCTTCCAGCACTGATGATGTTACCTAGTTAGGATAATGAAACGCCTGCAAGAAATCTAGTAAGTTCAGAGAGCAACAAGGACCCCTCTAAATTCTATTGCTTATTGCTACTCAGTCCAAGGGTGGTTCTTTGGGTGATATAAAAATAAACCTTTGATTATTTTATATTTTATTTTATTGATTTCATTTGATCGTTGTGTTTATACTCCTATTTTATTATTTATCATCTCCTTTTATTTTATGCACGTTTTATTATGATTCCAAACAACACAAATGTTTAAAAAAAAACACCTCCTCTTTTCTTTGGTCTTTACCGGAAGCCCTCAAGGGTGCCGCCTATTGCTTCATGACGGTGTGGACGGTGCTTTGTCACGGAGGAGAAAAGATTTAATTCATGGGAGCCATCACAGTGTGATTAAAAAAACAACAACAACAACCCCATGTGTGCCTGAATCCTACAAGAAAAGAGATGCGGCTTTGAGTGCCTCATTCCCACTTCCATTTTGACTTTTTTGAACCCCCTATTCTGTCCCATGGCCCATCAACAGGGATGGGCTGCTATCGGTTCGCACTGTTTCGGGCAAACCGGTAGCTAATTTTATGGCCGGTTTGGTGAACCGACAAATTCCCAACCCTGGCTGGCCCCGCCCACCCTGCCCCTCCTCTTCCAGGAGTCCCTTATCACAGGTAAGTGTGGAAGTCCGTTTCCGGCCTCCAGGGAGACTCTGGAGCCCAGGGAGGCTGTTTCCACGCTCCCGGAGTCTCAAGGAAAGCCTCACGATCCTAGGGAGGGCAAAAAACAGCCTCCCCGTGGCCCATTTTTGCTCCCAGGCCAGGGTGGTGCAGAGAACCGGTTGCTAAATTTTTTGAGGCCCATCATGGCCTCTCTCGGCTCTAACAGTGTACTAAAGTGCCCAGGGAACAGTTCTTGCCCAGTCAAAGCCTACACAGAAGTTGTGCGATTCTCTTCTTCCTTTGCATGTAACAGAATAACAAGAGTTGGAAGGGACCTTGGAGGTCTTCTAGTCCAACCCCCTGCTTTGGCAGGAAACCCTATAGTACCATTTCAGACAAAACGGTTGTCCAATCTCTTCTTAAAAACGTCCAGTGTTGGAGCAATCGCAACTTCTGGAGTCAAGTAGTTCCACTGGTTAATTGTTCTCACTGTCAGGAAATTTTCTCTTTAATTCTTGGCTCCTTCTCTACCTTAACCCTGGTTTAATCCTGTCCCTTTCCAGGTTGTGCCTTTGTTAAGTTTTCCTCGCACAACGAAGCCCAAGCAGCCATCCATGCTCTCCACGGCAGCCAAACCATGCCCGTAAGTAAATACCCAAATCTTGTCACAGGTTAGAAGAAGACCCAGATGGATATAATTTAGCACTGTGTCCACCTGGGGTCAGTGGAAATTGAGTAGGGGCAAACTGATTCTCAGTTATCCAGGTCAAAGGTGTTTTTCTTGTTTTCTTCTTTGAAGACATTTCGCTTCTCACCCAAGAAGCTTCTTCAGCTCTGACTTTGTGGGGAACGGAAGGATTTATACTCCTTGCAGACAGCTAGTTATTTGCATACTTTTAGGGGAGTCGTTGAGGCCACTTGGAGGTTTATCTGTGTCCTCAGGGTCACCTGAGTAATGCAAATGAGTGTGGAGCTTTCTTGGCTGCAGGATGTTTTCTGGCCTGGGTCCCTTCCTTGGCGCAGGTTGCTGGGGATAAGTCTATGTTGGCTGCATCTCAAACTGAAGCACAAATTTTAGACAAACCTCCAAGTAGCCTCAGGGAATCTCTCAAAGAATGCAAATGACCAGCTGTCTGCAAGGAGTATAAATCCCCCCCCACCCGTTCCCCACCATTCAGTCAGAGCTGAAGAAGCTTCTTGCGTGGGAAGCGAAATGTCTTCAGGGAAAAATGTTGAGGTAATTCCCCGTTAGGAGAATGAGCGCATGCAGGGAGACGTATTTGAGAGAAGTGTTTGAATAATACACACACAGAACACAGATACACTGTACAGTAAATGTAGGTTTTTACTTCCAGAAACGTTAAGCAAAGTCCAAAACAAGCAGTCCAAAGTCATTCACAGGTAAATCAGTCAGTTTTTCAATCCAGGGATGATCCAATAACAAATTCCAGTGTCAAAAACAGTTCAGTAACAAACTTACATCAAATCCAGAAATAGCAGTCAATTAGGAAAAATGGAGGAACGGCAATACTTTCCAACAGAAGGAAACAGAGATACACTCACACTCTCTTCTGAGACTCAGACTAAAACAACCCAGGTTTCTGGCTCCCTCTTATGGCCGTTTGAGAAACCACACCTAATTACAGTTTTGCATTTTCTTAAAGATACAGTTTTTTTTTTATTAAAAGTTTTTATTGATTTTAACGACAAACAAAAACACAAAAAACATAAAACATAACATAAAAAACATCATCATTCTTCATATATTTACAGACAGTGTATCGGTCTATCCTGGTTTATATATTCCTAACCCAAATACCTGTTAGGTGACTTATATTCCTAACAAAAAAAACAAGAAAAGTTCAGTTGCCTCTTGAAAAAAAAAAGCACCTTTGGGACATCCTACTAAGAAATTGAATGCAATGGGAATTGCAGCGTAGGAATCAGGCTTGTTCTAGGTTTCAAAATGCAGGGGAAATTTGAAAGGGGCACCCAAGATGGGTTGGGCTGAACCCCAGTTTGCGAGCACAGGTAGTCCTCGACTTACGACAGTTCGCTTGGTGGCCGTTCATATTTACAACTGCACCAAAAAGTGACCTGTGACCATTCTAGACCACGAGCCACAGTGGTGCAGTGGTTAGAGTTCTGCAGGGCTGCTTCTGCTGACTGCCGGCTGATTGCAATTTGGCAGTTCAAATCCCACCAGGCTCAAGGTTGACTCGGCCTTCTGTCCTTCTGAGGATGGTAAAATAAGGACCCAGATTGTTGGGGGCACCAGGCTGACTCTGTAAACTGCTTAGAGAGGGCTGGAAAGCACTGCGAAGTGCTATCGCTATTATTCATGCTCGCTTAACAGCTGCAGTGATTCGCTTAACAACGGTGGCCAAAAGGTTCGCAAAAGTGGGCGTGACTCACTTAGCAAGGGAAATTCTGGCTCCTGTCGCAGTCATAAGCCTGTTTGGTTGCAGAATCTTCTGTGCTGTACAACTGAGCAGCCGAACGGCCCCCAGAATCACAGAGTTGGAAGGGTCCTTGGAGGTCATCTAGTCCAACCCCCTGCTTAAGCAGGAGCCACACTACCGTTCCAGGGAAATAACAGAATCACAGAGTTGGAAGGGACCCCGGAGGTCATCTAGCCCAACCCCCTGCTTAAGCAGGAGCCACACTACCATTCCAGGGAAATAACAGAATCACAGAGTTGGAAGGGGCCTCGGAGGTCATCTAGTCCAACCCCCTGCTTAAGCAGGAGCCACAC